TTTCATTGCTTCCAAAAAAAAAATGCACAAATGACAAATGATCTACCCTTCCTTTAAATGAGCAAGTTTGTTATATTTTCAGTGTGAAAGTATACAAGTATTAGTACTAACATATGGATAACCCTGAAATTTTTCACTGTAAATAAATTTTTTTTAAATGCCTTTGAAACAGATTTGGAGGTTTTAATTTTAGGAAATGCACCTCTGTATTCCAAGTCTTTGGATGTTTCAGGCTTTTACATATTTTCATGATGGTGCCAAGGTGCATATTCATGAGAAATACAGTGAAGTCATGAGCTGGAACTTCAGTGTCACTGCTGTTTGAGGGGAAAGGAATGTTAACAAAAGTGTTTTGATCAAGATTGATGTGACTGTTGCGTTCATTAGCACATAGCATGCAGCCAGTGAGATGCTTCAATGTACAAACCTTTACACATGTACAATGCAATGAATTTTAGGTTCATAAATTATACAGAAAACCCCAAAGCTGTGAAGTGTAAAATACCTAAATCGACATCACAGCAACATTAGAAACAATTGCGAACATGTGCACGGGCAATGCAAAAAAGTGTGCGTAAAATGTGGTCACTACTTTCATACAAACACAGGGCTAGGATATTTCATGTTTTAGTGAAATTCATTTTACAGCCTTTTGATGCTGTTATTAACAGACCTTGACAAACCCCAAGCATGGAGCACAATACATACATACTCCTAAAAAGGCACAAACTGCATGGTTATTGTTATTGAGGGTTCAATATTTAGGGAGCAAACTCACCGCAAATCCAAAATGTCTTGGGAGGTTTTGGATCTCAATCTTGAAGATCTCTGAGGTGAAGTGCTGTTGCATCAGATAGTGATAAGGATCCGTTATGGCAGCGCCAGTCACCGGTACGTCAGAGGTGCTGGTGAAATGGTTATCTTGTGGGTCAAGACCTGATGCACAAATGAACAGATTAAAAAAAACTTGATATGGCTAGAGCTATATTGTCTAGGTCTTCACCCAAAACAATTACATGGGAACAATCTGACAATAGCCGTAGCCATAGCTCTAGAAGCGCGTTTCAGACACAGCCTAAGTAACAGATCAACAAAGTTGCAAGTTATGCATTAGGAGCATCTGATTCCAAATACATTACACCAATCTTTGTGCATACTTGTAGCACAACGTGAAAAATACTTTTTGCAGACCAAATAAAGTGCAGAATTTTTGTTCAAACTTTCTTAAATTCTATCTTTAGCAAGGAGAAATCCAATTAAATAGATGTTTTGCTGCAGAGCACAGATATATAATATACGAGACCATTGTAGGCTTTAAATGTACAGTATGGGATTTAAGTCTGGTGTATTAAAGGTGTCCTCACAGCTACTAGCTGGAAAAAATGTAGTTGATAGTTAAAGTCAGCATTTTGTACTCCACTTCTGTCAATAGAGCGTGCAAGTTGACCTCAAAAACCTAGGTGATTTTACTAGGTTTATCCAGTCAAGGGCAAAGAATGGGTTCTGAACAAGAAAAAAAATCATTACAATTTACAACACATTAAAAAAATATTGCAAGTTGATTACTATAGTAAATTGAAGAAATGTGGACCTCCACTTCCGTTCATTGGGTGAATTCAAACACGGGAGTCTGTGGCTAGACTAGTCAGTGTTTGGTACCAAGATGTTCACATGAAAAGTGAATGTGAACTGGTGAGATTTGCATGCTTTATAATTGTACATAATCTGTGTAGCACTACTAGTCTGTTGTATTACATTATGAGCTCCATGCATGTCTGTATGATGTTTAAATGCAAAGCAATATTCTAATATTTCTTTAAGATGGACTCAAGGGTACTTCAAATTTGGGTAATTGAAAAATCAATGCTGTAAAATATGAATGTTGTTGTAAAGTTAGCATCATACAAGATGTATCTTAATTTGCACAGTATCCGAGGAATTGCTGCTTTTTATATGTTCAATAGAGCTGCTATTTCCTTGTGTAATTTAAAACTCTAAACACAAATAATACAGAAATAGGTGTTTGAGCTCTTACGTCTTTCTGATACCTAGTAATATTTGGAAAAAAAATACAGGGCAAACCATGTTTCTAAAAGTCACATACTTTTTATAGGACAAACAAATTTGCGTGTAAAAGCAAGATCAGTGATAAAATAAATAAAAGTGTACACTAGCAACATTTAAATAAACAGTGATTTTCCTGAATTTTGTATTTAAAACCTAATTCTTGTTTGTACAAATGTAATTGTTAAAAAATCCCTATTGAGTAAAAGAGCTTGCTGGTCAATGTTGAAATATTCATGCCACAAAAGTAAGCCAACATATTGGTCAGCAAAGGGGATGACAAGGGTTTAAGTCTTTTGTGGCTTGTTTCTTTCTTTTCAACAATTAATTCCTGACAGACATAATAGACTATGCACAATATGTACACCTGTCAATCTTTCTGTGTGTTGCATTCTGATTGGTTGGGATTGATCAGCAGTAGCTACCAATAGGCCAAGCCCCTCGACAGCCGATCCAATCAAACATAAAAGTTGATCTACGTCTTTTGCAAAAAGGAAACTTCAGAGGAAATACTTACCTTTGTAAGCGCCAAGCCGGAAACCAGCAGTGTTATCTGTCAATGAAAATAATAAGACATGAAACTGAAATATTTGCACAATTTATCCAGGGCCAAGTTTCATGTAGACCCGACAAGAATTTAGGGGAATAACTGAGAAAATAAATTCCTGAAACTTTCAGTTGCGGTGTTCATAACACGCACATTGTATGAAATGTTATGTCCATTCCAGGCAATGTGCACTTTTAATTTAATGATGCAGTGCCTTGAACACCAATACTGGTGGATAGGTGTGCTCTATCTTTAAAAAAAAAAAAACCAAGAAAAGAAACGCTTTGATGTTAAACTTTACTTTCATTTAAGAGTGCCTTGGGTTGCTCTTTGCTTCCATCAGAACTACTTCAACTTCTTCGTAAAGTCATGTTGACAGGATTCAACAAGCAGCATTTTTCCTAACACATGTTGATGCCATTGCTCATACCCCACCTCTGATCAAAACATGGGAGGGTGGTGGGGATAAATCCCCAACCCCCTGGTGTTTATGCTGTGTTAAACCATTGCTATGACGTCACACTATTGATAAAAGTGTGGATTCGGATCTACGAATCTCTTACACTGGTCACAAAGTGTGGACTCGGAATTACGAATCCACACTTTGAACACGTCGGACAATTGTTCTCCATAATGAGCATGAAAAGGACTGTCTGCGTGAAAATTTGCTTCCCGAAAATTACCACTGCATTTTCACTGTCAGAAAGAAATCGTCGTCTGAACTATCCATTTTAACGTAAGGAGCCTATATACACAAAATGACTTAATTGGTTGTACGGGTGTGTCGATACACATGCTAAACACGTCAGGAAACAATGTTGCAACCTGACGCCACTTCCGTGCTTGTGTACAATGTCTATGGAGAATCATTTCAAGTATTTCCTAACAATTTTGGAAACATTTATCAGTCCCAGATTCATGTCTTATCATCATTTTTGCAACGAATGGCCTTCATTGAGATGGTATATGAAGAAAAGAGTGGCGTCAGGTTGCAGCATTCTTTCCAATACTTCTGTTGACGCAATGGTTTAAGTCGAAGAATACACTCACAAGTGTGGATTCTTAATTTACGAATTCACTCGGCGCTTCGCGAATTCTTAAATTACATATCCACACTTTCTCCTGTATTCTCCTTAACAGAGAGACGCAGTTTGTCAGTAAGTCCAGGGACAGTTGGTCTCAATCTGCCCCTAAATGAGAGAGTTTCTATAAGCAGGGGGTGGGGTTCACGTCCCACCAATGACACTTCCCAGAAATCATCAAATCCAAAGGATGCAGAACCACAAAACGTAGAGGTTGGATGAATAAAAAAAAAATGAATGCCAGTTTCACTCACCGATGCCATAGACACTCTTTCCGATGGTAAACTCACACTTGTTGCGATAACTCTCTAATACTGGCTGTTGATGAGGAAACAAACAATGAAAATTAAAGGAACAAATCAGACATCTCCAATGTCAGGAATATTTATCCCACAAAAGATTCACACACCGTAATGTTAGTCTATCATAAAATCCTGGTTGAAATATTAAATTCATACCATGCTCTTGAAGTTCTTATCGTGAACTTGATGCGACCTTAAAACATACGTGTAACATCAGCAGCCAGAAGCGCGTCGTGTATAAATACTCGGGCCAAAATTGGCGATAGTCATTGAGTCTTCACATTTTGAACGGCATAGACGCAGGAGACGCAGAGGAAACGCGCAGTCCTGATGCATGCACGTCCGTGGAGTTCTCACAACGTTGCTCACGTCTGCCTGCGCATTGCCAGTACGTCACGGCCATTCGCGAGGAGTTTGCGCAGAGTACTTGCCGCGTTCTGGTCAAAACGCCGAGGTGCAACGTTTGTTTTGTGCATATCCAAAACGAACACGGCAGTTTGGTGTTCAGCAAAGTCCTTGGAATCCCTCTGAAGTCCTCAACTAGTATCAATGAGTCCCCACGCCGTCATCTACATTCCCACCGCGTTTTAGTCAATTTTCTTGGTAGCAGTACAAACTCCATGCCAGAACGTGACACTGTGAGAGGGCCTTAAGATGTCTGCACTAGTAAGCAGGAGGTCATGGGTTCATATCCCACCCAAGAAAGCTTTCAAATTTGCATTGGTGAATGGCAAACCAGATATTAACATTCACAAGTCCCCTACGTAAACAATCCATTAAACTCATTGGTTGTGGTAACTGCTATATCAGATTGGAACCAGCCAGTCAGCCCCAGCAAGCTTGGTGGTCAAGTAAGACATCTGCACTAGTAAGCTGTTGTTGTTGGTGCAAGTCCCACTCAAGCAGCTTTTGTAAACTTTTTCTTGTGAGCTTTTTCCTTTATTTTGTGTGTGTGTGTTTTTTATTCTACAAGGAAGATCACATTTCCATTCTGGCCCACAACCATCCCGTGTCTTTGGCGAGTAGCTCACCTTTGTTGCTTCAGCCAGGGAGACATCTCCCCAATGTTCCGTTGCAGCATCTTGGATAAATTCCTCAGAAACTCCCTGGTGTTGGTCTGTTTGGTGGATAGCTGGTCCTCATACGGCTGGTTCCATAGTGGAGTCACCCTGTTGTTTAACCTGCAGATTGGGAGAAGAGCAAAAAGCACCCTCAGTATTTCAGAGTCTTAAGAATTTCACAATTGTGAATGCTTCAACTGCTATTACCTTTTTTGAGACATGGCAGACACAATCGAAGGGCGCCATTTGATTTGGGTAAATTTGGGGTCAATACAAAAGACTCACCCAAACCAAATATTACCCTCGTATTGTGTCCACCATATCTCATAATGGGTAATGGATAGTGAGTGGAACTTGTGATCTTTCTACATACAACCATTCTCATAACTTCAGTTCGTAGTTCTGGTGGTGCATGTGCAAAGTAAATTTTAGGCTTGAAACACTAAGGGAAATGTGTTCAACTTGAAAAGTTTATCAGATAAAATAAGAGTCATTTAAAGTGTGAATCACAAACTCTACACAGACATGGAAGCTTTGATGCTCTCCCTTCAAGGAGAATAAATGACAAGGAAGAGAAAACTGACCACGTAACTATTCCACTCAACAAATTTCATGTTCACAATGTCAAATGAGCTATGGAACTGACTGGTTGGGCTCTTAAAATAGTAATCTCTGGATGTCAGAATGGTTTTCTTGTGATGATCATGAACTACTTGAACTACTCAAAAAATCTACTACAGTGAAGGAAATCACATTCTTTGAACTTCCACTTTCAAGGGGTATCAAGCCTAAATGGCAGTAAAGGCAGGGTCTACCTTCCTATATCCTACAAAATCCTCCAAAATAAATGGACAGAACAGAATTGATAAATTCCATCAAATGAGCCTTTTTCTACACTTGCATGATTTTAATACCACAGAGCACAGTGACAGAAATGAGTGTTGTAATGACTTCAGTTGGTTGAGAACCGGAGTACTTTTCTAATGGATGGTGGTTCGAATCCAGCCCAACCCTGCATTCTATCTCAATGTCTTCACCTCTCTTCTACTGGTCAGCTGTCCTCCTCCTTCCTCCTCTTAGCTTCTTGGGTGTTTTCATCAGATTCCTCTTGGCTTCTCTTCAGAGCGAGGCTCTTAGTGTACAGGTCCTCAACTGGCTTGGTAAGCTACGGGAAAAGAGTTATTGCAGGAACGTGAACCTGTAACCACAGCAATAGCAGCCACTAGACCCCTTGCACAGGCAGCCAATGCGGAGGCAGTTCTTATTCATTTAAATCCAATGACAAGTGCCAACAGAAACTCGTGTCAATAATGAAGCCACAATTGACTAATAGTCAATACCTTGGCTTTGAGCACTTGTCCTTTCCATGCGAGTCCCACTCAAGCAGCTGTGAATTGATTGGCTTTGGGTTGGGTTTTCCTGTTTTTTATTTTATTTTGTGACTTTTGTGTGTAGGGAAGACAGTTCATTTCAGAAATTAGGTAAAACTTTGGTGAGTTTGACTGATTCTCAAGAAAAAGAGGAAACATGTTCTGGGGCTTTAACAAATGTTCAGGGCAGCTGTACATGTAAGTCCACTTGCCAGAAAACTGTGTCTGGAAACAGTTTCTTGTCAAGGAAGACCACATTTCCATTCTGGCCCACAACCATCCCGTGTCTTTGGTGGGTAGCTCACCTTTGTTGCTTCAGCCAGGGAGACATCTCCCCAATGTTCCATTGCAGCATCTTGGATAAATTCCTCAGAAACTCCCTGGTGTTGGTCTGTTTGGTGGATAGCTGGTCCTCATACGGCTGGTTCCACAGTGGAGTCACCATGTTGTTTAACCTGTAGATTGGGAAAAGATGTGAAAAGCACATTCAGCATTCCAGAGTCTTAACAAATTTTGGAAAAAGTGAAAAGCTCAACTGCTCTAAGCCTTTTGCGATATGGCAGACACAATACAAGGGTGTTATTTGATTTGGGTATATTGGGGTAACTTATGCTAAAGACTAGACCCAGACCAAATAGCGCCGCCTCGTATTGTGTCCACCGTATCTCCAAAGGGTAATGGATTGTGTGTGGAACTTGTCATCTTTCTACATACAACCATTCTCCTAACTACAGTTCATAGTTCTGGTAGTGCATGAGCAAATTAAAGATTAAGCTTGAAACAATGAGAGTAATGTGTTCAACTTAGACAGTTTATCAGATAAAATAAGAATCATCTGAAACTGTGAACCGCACACACACTCTACACAGACATGCAACCTTTAATGCTGTACCTTCTAGGGAAAAAAACAAGGAAAACTGTCCACATAACAGTTTTACTCAACAAATGCCAGATGAAGTACTAAATTTACTTCTTTTACCAATCTGCTATTTTTCAAGCATTACAAAAGTTATTCACTTTTGAATGAAACACCAAACACAAAAAAGCTCACGTTCAGTTATTGAACTATTACTTTACAATTCCAAATTATTGGCTGCCAAACATAATTTCTGTTCTTGCTGGATAGGCTGGTTCCCCACCCCCCCCCCCCCCCCCCACAATCAGTATCAATAATGTACGGACGGTAGCCAATCTGTTGGCAAAGCTGGTCATCAGTTTGGCCCAAGTACAAAAAGAAAAGTTCATGGGTAATTTCTTAGTACAACATTTGATAGCAGAAGTCTAAGTACACTTGCAATTTCAAGCAAGAGAGTGTAGGAATTCCATGGTTTCAAATCTTTGTTGATGCAGTGACTATTTGTATCTGTATTTTAAATGTCTTTCTTGATTATCCAAACACCAAATCTAAAGCTTGTGTCAAGTTTCTATATGTGAGATATAAATAAATATGTTGTAAGCAAAATGTAGTGAACGACCTGAAAGATTTTGTGTCCTTTTTTGATCTGCATCTAATTGTATTCAGTTATAGATAATTCAAGCGTTACGTTATGTCTGTGATCTTTTATGAGCTGTAAAACTTTACATGTAAAAAGTGCAGAGTGCCTTTTCACCTTTTCCTAAGTAAGCTAGATATGAGCAAAACCTTAGTGACAGATTACACAATGTACATGGAAAAAAGTCTTGAAGAGAAAATAAAAAGTCATTCTGAAGCACATCTATGCCAAAGTCAACTGTGAAACTCTATTGTCTACTTTGGTTTAGTATGCATTCAAAACAAGGAACAAAGAACTAATCCTTACAAATCTTAGAGATAAAAAAACACTAAGGGGAAAAAATTCAGAAGCTTTTTGTTTCAACTACACATTGCTCCAGGTCTTATATTCGCTGTAAGTATAAAACTGGAGTGATCTTGAAATAGGACAGAACACTCTTTGCTACATCTGAATAAAATGTTGGATATGGAGAACGATGAAGTTGAAAAGCACCTTGAGAACTTTATCAAGACTCACAAAAGAAATTAACAAATACTATGGTTAAGTACTGAAATCAATGCACCAATCGGCCTCTGCTTAAACTTGGTTTTTCTCTTCACAGTCATTCGAGTGAAGTCAATGAGTACAATCATCAACAGCTACTTATCCAATCTGGCTGTGGCTGACTTGCTCTTCCTTATGACTCAATATATATTTGTATTGTGTTCCTCCGAAGTGTACAAAGCATTCCAGAGTGTCAAATAAATCCCGGGACATACCGTTATTTCATTTTAATACCGTTTTGGATTTCCTCAAAAACAAAAACAGTAAACGAACCATTGACCGTTTTACAGTTTTATAAAACGACAAACAGTATTAAGATAAATACGGTTTCTCCGTTTCATAAGTTTAGTAAAATTCATTATTTCATAACGATTGATTATTTTTGTTTTACAGTTTTACACAAATAACTTAGAAAAACAGCAAAACGATCAGTATTGAATACACACTGTTTTTTTTATTTTAGTGTCATAGTTAACAGTCCGTGGTGCATTTTGTGGCGGTGGGCAAGGGGGTGGAGGGGGACCCTGCTTTACACGAGTGTTGGCTCGGCATAATTAATGCGTGGTGTGATTCCTGGCGCGGGCCCTGACCCCCTTCTCATGCGAATCAGTTGGTCGGGCTTAAAGAGTTGCAAGCAAAAATGGCGCTGGAAAACTGCAAGGGAGGGCATTACTTTTCACAATGGATACAGGATGGTAAGACGTTTGATGAAGTTGCAAATATTTTGAAGGAAATTGGAGTTTAAGTCGACGCGGCTCTTCAATAGCTAATTCGCAAATTCTGTAGTGAGAACGAAAATGTAAAGAGGGCCCAAGCAATGACTCGATCCCAAGGACGCATTAACATTCCTAAGTGCATTGCTTAATTGCCGAACCTAACTCAAAAAAATGGTCGGCAAGACTATTGACCATTTTGTCATTGTCATGATTATGTAAAACAACACTCTAAAACAAAGCAACTAACCGTTTAATGCTTTCTACAATTAAAAACAACAACAAAAAGTATTTTTTGTGTGTGACTTAATACAGTTTGACCGTTTTACAAAACTGTAAAACGACAAAACGGTCAATAGTTCGTTCACGGTTTTTGTTTTTGAGGAAATCCAAAACGGTAAAACAAAATAACGGTATGTCCTGGGATTCAAATACATGTTTGTTGCTGTTTCTAGTTATTTTGTAGTGATCATAGCAGCTGAGAGATTCTCTGCAGTGCGCAATCTTCTGACATTCAAGGAAAAAGCCTCTAAATCTCGAGCAGCAAAGATATCAGCAGGACTCTGGGTGGCAACAATTATTGTTGGTGTGATCCCAATATTCTTGCCAGAGACTTTCTTTAAAGACATCTTTTTTGGATTAATTTTGTTACCAACACTACCTGTTTAGTAGCCACTCTTGCTTTGTACATCTTGGTAGTAGTTAAAGTGTGCAAGCAATCAGCACAGTTGCCAAATTGTCCCAAGCGAGCAGGCAAGCTCCTCTGTATGGTTATCATCAATACTGCCATTTTTTTCATTCTGAACTCACTGAACGTTTCAGCTGCAATTATTTATACTCTGGGAACAACTTATACTTTGCCTGCCCAAGCTATTGAATATCTAGAACTTGCAGAAAATCCTCAGACTTATCAATAGCTCAATTAATTCCCTCGTCTACAGTGCTGACTAATGCTGACTATCGTGCAGCTGTAGTCAAGGCTTTCTCATTCCTCAAACTGTGCTGTCGTTATAAGATGGAATTTTTGCGTCGGGGTGATATAAATCAAATTAGGTTTTGCCCTGCACCAACGTTTTTAAAAACTGTATACTCAGTGTATTACCTCCCGAGTGAAAGTTGGAAAAAATCACTCGGGTGGGACTCGAACCCACGACCTCCTGCTTTCTAGTGCAGATGTCTTACCACTCGACCACCGAGCTAACGGGTTCGGGTGGCTGGTTCGAATCTGATGTACATAGCGGCTGGTACCGCATAAACTATTATAAGATGGAATTTTCCATCCAATCCCGTTAGCTCGGTGGTCGAGTGGCAAGACATGTGCTGTCGTTGCTTCCCAAGACAGAATCCCAGCCGACCATTGCAGCCAGGGAAGCAGATTGAGCTTCATGTGATTCCACATGCAGGCAGAAAATGACCAAGAGCACCATGCTGCCAGGCCAAGCAGCAGCAAGCCACCAAGCCAAGGGCATGCACAACACACAGAGAGTCAGAAGTCACTGGACAGCTGTCAAGAACAATGTTCCTTTTTCTCAGTGCTTGCACACGTGGTACACAACGCATTGATGTTAGTGTATGAGGCAACTTTCTCTCGGGAGGTAAAGCCCCTGTCACACTGTCTGACATCTTATGTGCGCTCTTACTGCATCCTTAGCTGGGGCGCAAAAACAACTACAAGATCGCAGCGACAACTACATAGGTCACCAGATGGGCGCCAGAGGGTCTTAATGGTCTCCGATGAGCACCAAGGTCTTTGAACATGCCCAAAACAATCGCAACACCTCTGCGCTCTGGCCAGGGCGCCGCAATGACGCAACTCGGGCGCTTTGCAAGCGTGAATCGTGCGACATTGAAGTGGCATTGAGGCAGCCTAGGCGCAAGACAGCGACTAGATAGAGTAATTGAGCTTGACAGGGGCGCATAGAGAGCGAGTTGAGTGCATCGTAAGCGTGGGAAGAGCACAGTATGAGCGTAGCTTGAGCTTCTTTGATACAGAAAATTGTCATTTTCTTGCGTCCTCGCTGCAATTTTTACATTTATGAAATATTTTTGGTCGCCGTAAGGTCTCCTATGAGATCGCATATAATGTGACAGGCCCTAAACACACTGAGTAAACAGTTTATATACGTCAGAGAAGGGCGAAACCTAATTTGATTTTCATCAGCAAAAATTCCATCTTGTGATTGGCGCATATTACCGTGAAACACCTTACTGGTAACGAGAAACGTTCACAGCATATTATCAAGAATAGAGAAGTATTTTACTTTAAAGTAGGGAATTGTCAATACATGTATTTACCGTGTCATCAGTAATGTGCAGGCCCAGAACAGATTGCAACCAACTGTCAGTGTCACATTCCCTGGTTTGCCCCTCCCCAAGAAATATGACCCTCAGAAGTCTGGTACACCCGTCACACAAAATAAATTGTCGAACAAAATAAATTGTCAATTCACTCGACAATTTATTTTGTGTGACGGTGTACCAGACTACTGAGGGTTATATTTTTCTTGGGGAGGAGCAAACCAGGGAATGTGACAAATGGGGGCTCATCCGGGAAATGACAACACAAATTGAGAAAAGCCGGTAGTCTCAGGTGTGTGGTTATACACGATACTTTAAGATTGATACAGGGTGAGTTAAAAAAAAAACGGAACCAAAATCCCAAAAATTATATTTCACATTTAAAAAATATGTAGCATCAAAAATAATGAAGGGAAAGCAAACATCTTAAGGTACTTTAAGATGAAAAAAATGGATAAGTAAAGTGGTCAATCCATTCAGAAAATATCACCATTTAAACACAATGACCCTAAAAACCTGTCTCCTCAAAAAAGTGTGATTTCAAGAATCGTTGTCACAATTGTCTTCAAACATCTCCAGCAATAAACTCTCAGTTTAAACATTAAAAAGGTTCAACAGAATCACTTTGAAGGCCTGTCCTTTAAAGCTTTAGTCCATCATTTGTAATTAGTGCATTTTGTTCGTTTGAAGCAATAAATGTGTTCAAAATCTAATGAAGGATACTGAACAACTTACTTCATGAAGTTTCAGCTCAGCTTCAGCTTTATATTCCGAGAAAAACAGCATTCTAGGATCTCAATTTCAAATCAAAAGTTGCTAAATCATGTTTCGAATTGTTTTGAATTGCAGCTTTACACGATGTCGTGCACTAATCCGACAAATTATAGCAACCGCGCGCGCCTGTGCGTCGTTCCAATGCTTGTGCGCACTGCGCTGAATAACAAAACGAACTACTAATTTAAATTTTCCTATGGTGCTTCTTTAGACGCACCATTGGAAATGAGTTTCGTTGATTTCTTCGAATTGAGAGCTTGCCAGAAAGGATAATTTCACAGGGAGTTTAGTCCCCTTACTATCTTTCTGTGCATTAAGTCAAAAGCTATTGCCACAGACAACAATGCCTGTCTCATCAGACACAGCCTCACATACCTAGTCTAGGGGCTAGACGATGTTATGGTCGGATACGCAATTACATGCTGCAGCGATGACCCGCCGTCGCAAGAGGTGGCTATCAAAACCAACCAATATCCCCCACCATCGAAACGTCTAGGCCATCTCCTAAAATCTCTCCCCCCCCCCCAAAAAAAAATGGGGGAAGTGCGCATGCGCTACTTCCGCAGGCAATTACTGTTCATTTTCAGTCCCACACAAACTACACACAACAAAAGTGCTGACCAGTGAAGTTGCACAAACGTCTTGCTGCATCTTTTACGTTACTTGAAGAAATTTAAAAGTTTTCTTGGGAACTACTGTGAATTTTTTTTGAATGCGCGCTGCATATATTAGGCCAAAGGTGCGCGCACATTACACAACCAGTAGGAATTGGCCTATACGTTGTTCCGACGGGTTCGTGGGTGATATTGGTTGGTCAGTGGGTGTGGGTTTATCACTGCAGCAGGTTATCGCATATCAAACCATAACAATGTCTAGCCGTTAAGCCTCAGTCATACATTCACTGTTTGGAGCTACAGCTATCCACAGTTGAGAATTGTGATAACCGTGGGAGTACTGTATTCATCCTAAATATCTGCGTGGTTATCCGTCATCTTCCTTTGGTATTCGTGGAGGCGCTACGGAACTTTTAAACTGTTCCAAACGTCCGTGGTGAATCGTCATGAAAATCAATGCGCAGTGAAACCCGGGGACATCCATAGAACAACTGTACTAATTCGTAGTGTTATTTGTAGCTATTTGTACATACTCTTGGAGATTTGTAGCTCATTCGTGGTGGAAATCTATTCTCTACGAATTCACTACAAATGTCCTACGGTTATGCCCAGATATACTTGAATTCTGCTAAGGTTGTGCTACGAATATGACTATGCTTTATTTGTAGGAGAACCTTGGTCATCCGTGGCCCAATCGCAGACAACTGTGGCATTAACATCATTATTCTTGGTAATACTGTCAATATTCGTAAACAATCCGTTCAAGAAACTGTGGTGTATTCCTAGAGAAACCTCCGAAAGTTGTGGCTATCCGTCCTGAAACCCTAGTGCATTCTTAGAAAGTCAATTTCTCCATGAGTCTTGACGGTTCATTGTGATCAATTGATTCTTGGTAAACGGTGGATATTCGTAGGTCCAACCGTGAATGTGTTACTAGGGCCTTAAGACTATGACATACCTTGATCTTATTGCTGAGAGTCTGCATCTCAGTGGACAGTGTCTGCACCTTGTTGTGTAGCTCCTGGGTGGAGTCCCTGGTGGGTCTGTAGTTGGCATACTTCTCGTGTACGGCGTGGTAGATTTCACCCTTGATCTCATCAATGTGAGTTGATAATTTGCCGATGCGCGTCCTCAGGTCTTCATTTTCCAACAGATCTTGGCAAAGAATTACAAAATATTGGGTGAGTAAAAAACACCAAAACCCAAATAGCAGGACCAACTTTCGAATGAAGTTTTGCCTGTAGCACTTTTAAACTCTAGGATATAAAAACCCAATCAATAAGCTTGTGGACTTGTAACAGTTAATACGGCACGTAATATTCAGCCGCTCATTTAGTTTGCGCGCATGTGCACTCAAAATATGAAATACAGATAACCATAAATCAGCAAACATGGATGCCTGCAGTGGCAGTTTGAACCACTGAAGTATCGGTCAACATCACGCTCAATGTACTTTGATAAATTTTTCTTTCCACGTAGACAGGAATTTAAGGCAATCAAAGTCACTTTTGCAAACCTTAGCGCTAAAAAACAGAGAGTATTTGTTGCATTTTTTTTGTTTTTCCGTGTCGTGTAGTAGGAAAGTATTGGGTCACAAATTCAAAACAGGCGACAGTTTAGGGGATAATTTTTGCAGTTTTGCCGAGTAATTGTAAACTTGTCTTCACTGAAAATGGTCAAGAATGCCACGGAAAGTTTAAATATCATTTAAGTCGGAAACCGTTTCAATGAGAAAAGTAAGGTCTCAAGTTATACGTTTTTGTTGTTGAATGTAACGTTAGTGTGCACGTACCTGTACACAGACCCTGGAATTTGGCCCGTTAACATGGCTAGCCACGCGCCACGTGCTGCGGCGCTCCATTTGTAATCTTTCGACGCGTTGGAAATGTATACATTTAACTGAAACGATTTACAACTGACTGGTTCCCGGCCCAGAAATGCAGTTAAGTACAATCATAGAGGGCACGAAGCTTTCAAAATGGGTTTACTCGAAAAATGACGATTTTTATAAGCTACAGGTTTCCTCTTACATTAAATCACATGTAAAATGAAAATAATCTATCATCCTTTCCGATGGAACTACGGCTGATCTAAGGTAAACCCGGCAAATTGTCCAAATGTGTGAACCAAACTCAAAGGCGAACGATGTTTTTTCCTTTTCATTTTGTACGTTTTTTGTCCATAATTATTGGTTTTTTTTATATATTTGAAAAGGTAGAGACAATTGTAGAGAGACACTGTAGAGACAATTTATATCTTTGAAATTTCCCGTTCAATTCTGAGAGCTCCCCTCGCGATCTTGAACACGTTAAATTTCCGACTCGTGTTGTTAATGTTTGAACGACACGATTTCTTCTTCATGCCCAGCGTACATTCGATGGTCCCCGTATCCCGAGTGCGATTCTGTTACCGAGCGCGTGCGATGCATCGATTATGATAATGAGTAGGCTGGATCAGGTTTGTAAACACATGTGCATTTCGAACGATAATAGGGAGTCGTGAACTCTAGCGCAGCTTTTATGGCGGATACCAGTTCAAGCTGGTTCCTGATATTCTTTTACAGTTTGAAATGCAAGTTTGTGTTTACAAACGTGATAATTATCATAATCGATGCATCGCACGCGCTCGGTATCGGAATCGCACTCGGGATACGGGGACCATCGAATGTACGCTGGGCATGAAGAAAAAATCGCGTCGCTCAAACATTAACACGAGTCAGAAATTTAACGTGTTCAAGATCGCGAGGGGAGCTCTCAGAATTGAACGAGAAATTTCACTTTTCTTTCGGTTCGTAAGTAAACTTCAGTACAACCATCTTAATCATTGATGTCTACTTGTACCTCAGGTGGCATATCTAGTAATTTGGAGGCCGTTTTGCGGGTGAAATCTGATGTTTTTTTGTTGGAAAATGTTGGTTTCTGGGACAGTGACAGGATGATGTTGTCCAGCTCGCACTATTAGCTTGGACCTTACCATCACCAGACCATGTCCGAATGTTAAAAAGGCGATAAGTTTGGTCCAAGTTACTCGGACTAAGTATGTCATTGGTCATTCAATGCCAATTGTTCAGATGGGTCAAGAAATATCAGAATGTCAATTTTGAGTGTCATGATTTAGTCAACTGTTTTGGTGAGTCTTTCCCTCCTTACGTAGGAACAGGGTCATAATATACTCCTAGAACTATGAGGCTCCACGTAGTGGAGCCTCATAGAGTCAGAACCCCGCAAAATTGTTGTCAGCACAAAACACTAATTAAGTACAAAAACGTCCATCCCAACCAAGCTTTTTCCCACAGAACCGCTGCACAGTTTGCCCCTAAACTCCGTACAATACCTCATGACATACTCACATTATGTGCACCCAACAAACATCGATGGATTCTGTCTGTTTTCAGCAAAAATGATGAAAAATATGCCCTTTCTGCACTGAGCCTAGTCCGAGTAACTTGGACCCAACTTATCGCCTTTTTAAAAATTTGGACATGGTCTGGCGATAGTAGGGTCCAAGCTCATTCCTCGACCTAGACAACACAGTCACTGACAGTCCCAAAAACCAACATTTTCCAACAAAAAACATCAGATTTCACCTTCAAAACGGCCTCCAAATTACTAGATATGTCACCTGAGGTACAAGTAGACATAGATGATTAAGATGGTTGTACTTAAGTTTACTTACGATCCGGAAAAAAGTGAAATTTTCCGTTCAATTCTGGAGACCCCCTCTGCCTAGGTTGTCGTTGTTGTGCTCACGTTCAAAACTGCATGATAATGGCGTCTGACCTCGACCTCATGCAAATGTGGTGCGGCGCGCTTGCGCATAATGCACTGCATGCATACACGGCAGATTCCCCTGCGCCGCGCCGACGACTGTTTCCTGATGTAGAGCGCTGTGTAAGTTCGCGGTACGCCTGGGAGTCGCGCTGGCTAGCCAGGCGTACCGCGAACTTACACAGCGCTCTACATCAGGAAACAGTCGTCGGCGCGGCGCAGGGGAATCTGCCGGGTATGCATGCAGTGCATTATGCGCAAGCGCGCCGCACCACATTTGCATGAGGTCGAGGTCAGACGCCATTATCATGCAGTTTTGAACGTGAGCACAACAACGACAACCTAGGCAGAGGGGGTCTCCAGAATTGAACGGAAAATTTCACTTTTTTCCGGATCGTAAGTAAACTTAAGTACAACCATCTTAATCATCTATGTCTACTTGTACCTCAGGTGACATATCTAGTAATTTGGAGGCCGTTTTGAAGGTGAAATCTGATGTTTTTTGTTGGAAAATGTTGGTTTTTGGGACTGTCAGTGACTGTGTTGTCTAGGTCGAGGAATGAGCTTGGACCCTACTATCGCCAGACCATGTCCAAATTTTTAAAAAGGCGATAAGTTGGATCCAAGTTACTCGGACTACACTGAGCCAACCTAACACTTGAAACGAGCACGCGCGCAGAATGATCGCAGTCATTTTCGGGTTCAATCGCTAGGAGCCCGCCGCGGGGGGTACATACTTGCACTTGTATGCATGCGCATACTATCGTTCCGCTCCTACACCATACCCCCGCGGCGCGCTCCGAGCGATCGAACCGAAAATGACTGCGATCATTCAGGGCGCGTGCTCGTTTCAAGTGTTAGGTTGGCTCAGTGCGGAAAGGGCATATTTTTCATCATTTTTGCCGAAAACAGACAGAATCCACCGATGTTTGTTGGGTGCACATAACGTGAGTATGTCATGAGGTATTGTACGGAGTTTAGGGGCAAACTGTGCAGCGGTTCTGTGGGAAAAAGCTTGGTTGGGATGGACGTTTTTGTACTTAATTAGTGTTTTGTGCTGACAACAATTTTGCGGGGTTCTGTGTCTATGAGGCTCACTGGAGAGCCTCATAGTTCTTGGAGTAGTCATAATACTAGTAAGGATTACCGGGCGAAGCTTAGTGACCGACACCCGTTCTCATACGTTGTATCACGCAACCGATGCAACGATAAAGATCGAATACTTACCAACCAAAAAGCGTTTCAAATACTCGGCCTACATAGGAATTAAATGCACTAAGTTTTTTATTTTTCCTACAATAATCTCTGGAACTTTTTTGAGAGAACCTTTGTCTGAAAGGTTAGTATTATTGGAAAACAGCTGAGTTTTACCCGTGTTTGCGAGCAGAACATCGGTGACATGGGACGTCATCTTGATTCTTGGATCTGCCGCCGGTACAGCGCCCTCTAAACAAATTTTTTGACAGTGACGTTTCTGAAATTTCGGATTAAGCTTCGCCTTAGAGTCATAACTGTCTACGTAATCATTTTAACAACTAATTAAACAGTCTAATGCAAGCATAACAACTGTAACATTAGATCTGTTGACAATCGATGTTTTCAATGCAGAACAATACCGTTACCAATATATACAAAAATTGACAACAATCCCAAGGTATGCGCTTGGTATGACGTATGCCCACGTGATGGCGCGCACAGGTGGTGGTGTTTTGTGATACTGACAGGTGCAAAATGGATGGATAATATTCACACGTGGTGGTTTGTTGTCTGCGTGTTACAAAAATGTAACAATGCCCGTCTCGCAAAAGTTGGTGTGTCCCTTGCCCTATGATGTCGTTGCCATGTTGGGTCATGCAACTTTCTCCAGATTCGTTGTCGAGGAACGTGTTGTATCTCTACTTGTGAGGTGGTTTCAGTGTGTCCGTCGTCAACTCGATTTTCTTAAAAACCTGAAAAACTGCAAGACGTTCATGGTCCGGTCGTGAGTATTTAGCAGGGAAAGAATCATAGGCCTATACCAAGGTTGCGATCATGGCGATTTGCATTCACAAAGCGTGGGATTCGCAATTGTGCCAATCCTGTTGCATAAACCGCAGATCTAAGATTTTCACATAATCCTATTTAAACATTTTGGATTTTGAGCATGTTAGGAAGTGACAATTAAGCTAGTGGTTACTCACGTACCTCACAATATGTGCATCCCCCCCCCCATGTTGAAGCACTTGAAAGTGTTCAACATATTTGATTGGCCTGATCGAAGATCAATCTGATAATTGACAATTATTATGTACCAAAAACAGGGCTGATGGCTTTCAGGGACTTCATTCATCCTTGCAACATATCTCTCTCTCTGTTATTTAAGTCTCTATTGTATTGAAGTGGTGATGTGAAGTAGTTTTTTACAGGAAATAATGCTGGGTTCCTTTATTTTCAATAGGGCCCAAAGAAATATTGATTGTGAAAAGAATGCAAAAGTCATATCCGTCACACCTTTTGTGACGGAAATGACAATTATTATATTACTTGGCTTTTGGAGGTATAATTACCTTTTCAAGTTGTTTACTTTACAAATTATGGCAGTAGGTACATATTGAGAAATACACGGGGACATGCATTTTGAGGGGGTTTTGAGGGAGTATTGTAAAGAATGAGCATCTTGTCCATTATGTTAAAGAGTTTTTAACACTGCACATAATAGGAGTCGTGTTGAAGTTAATTTCACTGCTCAAAAATCTAATTTTCATTCTATATTTTTCGATTTATAGTGCCTTAAAGTGTCGGGACATGAAAGTAGACACTTGATACTGAAGAATGACCCATAGGCCCCTTTTTAATAAGAACTTGCTGGGAGTGTACATGCAGGAAGAAATTCACGATAAACATCTCCAGCATTTAGGATAGAGATAAACCCACGAATGATTCTAGCGTAAGGTTGATGCATTGGCAGTTGTACTGTTTAACTTTGTTCACTATAGGGTGTCAGTGGGTACATTGAATTTTTTGAAAAGAAGCTGAAACAATTAGAAGCAGTAGGTGAAAATTAACAAAAATCCACTTTGAAAAAAGATGTATATCATAAATTTAATTTAGCTAGTTAAACTGTGCACATTAATTTACTTGTGCTTTTTACAAATTCAATAAATATATAAAATCTGATATCAAAAAGTATTTTTGTCCTCTGCAGGCTGAGTGTAAACATTAAACTGAAATCCACAGGCAAAAGGGGAACTATGTATTGGTGGAGTGAGGAAATTGTGGATGTGACATTTACACATTTAAACATTTAAAATAATAAACAAAATTCTAAATCGTATTTTTCCAAAAGTTTTAACAAAACTCAAATTTTAAAAACAGGAACCTATTTTCCGCTATCTTCCTTTGAGTTGAGCATGCATAACAAAAATAATCCAAACCTATTCAATTTGCTAAAAGCTAAGGAGAACTGCAGTACTAGATTACTTTCAGGCTACGTGCTCATCTTTTTATTGTTTTCAATGACAGCCCTCTTTTTATTATGTTACTCATTTATTATTTGTTGTGTCGATCATGTTGGTCTGCACAATGGGCAGTCGTCAGTCTTTGTGAAAGGGCTCAACATTGAGATGGTTCTTTAAATGTTTGCTAAACATTTACAAAATGAAACGTCACATCCTTAGAAGACATTGGAGGAGGAGGTCTAAGAAATTGGAGGAGGAAGGCAATTGGAGGTCTGTGGATGTTTGAGCTACTACGTACATGTAGAGGGTAACAGATGTCTCTGATGGTGATGCTGAAGTTTTGCGGAGCTATCGTCTGTTTGCTGACCTTCATTGCTAGACGGACCTTCATGTAGACGGACCTTCATGTAACGTTACCGAAACGGGCAGATCAGCAGACTATTCATATCGCGTTATCGCGATGCGACAGCAATATGCGTGTGAACGACAGGACGTCTGACAAGAAAAGTCTGGTACCTTATCCTATCAATCTTGCACCAATGCAGTATTGCGTGTTGATGGCAGGGTACAAGTTTCAGTACATTGATTTCTATAAGTCAATACATGTACATTGTATATCGGTAACCGGCCACGGCCACGCACGCACCACATCGAGCGCCCTGTACATGTATTGCACAGTAAAGAAAACGATCGAATTATATACCGGTATGTGCGCGTGTGCAGTGCGGTAATTTCCGTCGAGTCACAAGTCAGTTCAAGTCCAAGTCCGAGTCCGTAGCCCCGAGTCTGAGTCCGAGTCGTAAGTCAAAGTGACTCGAGTCCCAGTCCGAGTCATTAAAAATGTGACTCGAGTCGGACTCGAGTCCGAGTCACGAGTCATACAAGTCTGATTAGATGTACTTTATCTTCTTTTTTTTATTAAGATAGAACGAGCCAAATATTTTAAACATTTTTTTCAAATTCGGTCACTTTCTTTTTGACTCATCCTGTAGTTGGTTCAACCGGTCACGTGGGAATAAACTTGATGAATACATCCTGAAAATGCCTTTGGGGATAGTGACAGTATATGGATGTGATTGGAAGGAGGAGCAGGTAGTTGGTACATGTAGTTGGTTTCAATTTGGTCATGTTACTGAAGACGGAAAGTAACATTCACTCAAATCATCTTTAAGCACTAATATTACTTTGTACAAAGGTATATGTAGATGTAAACAACAGCAAAAAAAGAGGAGATTTTCTTTTCTATCAATCCTTGTTATTTTTTTCCCCCAAATGAATTGTGTTCTTCCCCTGGATGTTGATTTATTTACCCATACAACAATTCTGTACTTCCCTTCTGTTTGATATTCAATTTGATCTGATAAGGAATGATGTCAAACGGAAGTTTTTATTCACAAATCACAATTTGATTTCTGTTCATCAGTTGCCTTTTTTTTCTTTCCTGGGCAAATGTTGGTTGTCATCTGATCAGAGTTTCTTCTTCACTTTCTGGGGTTGTTGTCATTTGAAATCAGTCTCTGCCTTGCCTGACGATCAAGTTGATGTTGTCATATTCTCAGTTGTGTTGATGGAACATCTTTGCAAGACAATTTACAAGGGCTAACTACTTGGTCTAACTACGTGGTGGCATGGTTTAGTAAAGGTTTGCGGTACCACCATGTAGAAGTCTTTTTTGGGAAGATGTGTGGTTCTGCCCAAAAGAGACTCGGCATGCCTACATGGTGTTACTGCAAACTGCAAACTGCAAACCTTCACTAGATGTGACAATTGGGAAGGGGAAAGTGTGTTTGTCCATTTTTGTTTGGGGGGGGGGGAATATAATCCCCAACCCCTTTTCTTCCCCTGACATCCCCCCCCCCCCCTGATTCTATGTAAATATTTCAATGCTAATCATAATTGTATTGATGATATTTCAATGATAGATATAAAGTGTTTGAGGACCTACCTGGATCTGTTTGGGCCTACAACTACGTCCATTCACTGAGCAGATTCGGGATTACCCATCGAGGACTCAAAAAGATAGGAGAGAACAAGGCCAGTTTCTTCGGTAAAATTATCCAGTCAGGTAAGACAAACATCTGTGAAGACTCATTTGCATTGGTCTGCATCTCAATTCTATGTGGATAGTTGTGAAATTCAAAATTGTGAATTAGAAAGTAGGAATCAACTTTATTCGATTTCATCCATATAATTATTGATCTTCTTTTTCATATATGTATTTTTGTTGTTGCCCTTCCCTGAAGTATTTTACAAACACTGTACACATTGAGTTTTGTCCGAGGGTTTGCAAGAAAAAAAATCAACAAGCTTACTTCTGGGTGGACACGAACCCCCAACCTTCTGCTTCCTAGTGCAGACACATTAACCACTCGACCGTTTGGAGTCTGATGAAGCAGCGCTTAACCCAACTTTGTTTGTGTAGGAGGTCATTAGTTTGAGTCCCACCTAAGCCTTCGGACAACACTAAGTGCACAGTGTTTACAAAATATGTCAGCGAAGGGCAAACAAAAATCAAATATATAAAAAAGGCTAATTTACATCTCATCAATTTTGTTTTCCTGCCCAGGTTCCCCTTCTGAAGTCCATCCAGATGATCCTTAATAAGACAGCAGACGGTACAGGCATCAACTCCAACACCCTAGCCTTACAGATGAAGGGCCATCCTGAGCTGAGGGACTAGCTTCATGTCGTCACCTCTTGGGGGCCTTTGCCTGTCTACCCTGGGGTGGTCAACTCAGAATTACCTGGTAGGTAGAGTGGACTCTGTCACCAAGTACCAGTGTTGTAGTCGAGTTACCAACGTCGAGTCCGAGTCCAAGTCTCGAGTCACAAGCCTCGAGTCCGAGTCCGAGTCACAAGTCACTTGTTCTTAGTTGTTCACCGAACTAATCGTTTTTAAAAATTATTTTTTAATCCTCCATTCTGTCTTTTAAGTAAATCCCAGTGTATATAGTTGTGGTTGTACATGTTGTTTAGAGCCAAAATGTGTTTTCCTTTTAATTCCCATC